TGTGTTCCGGGACCTGTCGTAGTGTGAAGATGTGGTCTATACAACCACGTCCAGGTCGAAAACCAGACTGGTTTTCTCGAGTTTGCTCTTCACGAGCTTTCGTTAAGCGTCGAAGTATTACTGAGGCCAATATTTTTGATACTATAGTAGTTAGACTTATTCCCCTGTGATTGTCACAACAGGACTTTTGTCCTTTCTTGTAGATTGGGACAATAGTCGACTGATATCAGTCAGATGGAATTACGTCCAGTTCCAAGATTCTACCTGGGATCTCAGTCAGTCTAACTGTTAAAACTGGACCACCATCCTTAAACATCTCAGGGGTAAGCCTATCAGGACCTGCAACTCGCCCTCGCTTTAGATTTCCTATAGCTTTCTCAACTTCGTGTACACTGGGAGGACTTAAATCGATTGGCCATTCAGTGTGATTGGGGATCGTGGGCAACCGAAGAGTGGCTCGAGGCCAGTTGAACTGATCCTTAAAGTGTTCTGCCCATCGGTCCAATCTCCTGGATTGAGAATGGATAAGAAGACCATCCTTTACCGAGATAGTCGGAAAAGTTGTCTGGTGTTGCCTATCATCGCTGCCTTTTCCATCGCTTTTGCTTTCGCCACCCACCACTGTTCGCGATCGTTACGTAGGCTTTTTATAAGTCTGCGCCTAAGTTGACTTCGTTCTTCATCATGTTCAGAGCCAGGTGGGATGAGTTTTCGAGCATCCATCAGATCGGTGGATGCTACTGAGATCCATAGCTTCATTCTAGCCTTATGATGAACCTTACTAGCAGATATCACTGCTGTTTCCACAGCCTTTTTGATATCATTCCATCCTGCTTCCGGATGGGAATCGCTTAAACGGTCGCCTAACTGTTTTTCTAGTTGTTCCTGAAATATATTCTTCGCCTTATTATCATTAAGTAAATCCCTAAGAGGCTTTCTTATGGCGTCTTTCCTGCACCGAGTAAGCTTCAAACAAATACGTGCTCGCACTAGGGCATGATCTGAATCCAAAAATGTGCCCCAGAACGAGCGACAGCCTTCTATCGAGCCCCTCCATCGGTGGCTGATGGCGATGTGATCTAGTTGCGTCCAACGTTGAGATGACTTCGGGGGTCGCCAGGTCAAAAGATGTTTTTCCTTTTGCTTAAAATTAGTGTTTGCTAGAACTAGTTGGTTGTCTGAGCACAATTGCAACAGACGGTCGCCATTGTCTGTTCTTTGAGCCGCGACACCATAACATCCACATAGGCGTCTTTCATTTTCACTTAGTCTACCTACTTGAGCTTTGAAGTCACCAGCCATTATAACTATATTAGAGCGCCTAATTTTTTGGAGGAGGTCCGAAAGCTTTCTGTAAAACTCATCTTTTACATCGTCTGAACTGCAGTCAGTGGGGGCATAGGCAGATACGATTAAGAGGCAACGGCGAGTGTCCCGATCTTTCCGAGTCCTTACTGTCCCATTTAGTCGGACAGCGCACAAGCGACTATCTACTGGGATCCAGTCAAGGAGAGATTGTTCAGCTCTACGACTCAATGCTATGCCTACGCCAGCAAGACCTCGGGAAGCAGCATCAGGGCTACCGGATACACGAAGAGTAAATCGAGCTGCTTCTTTATTTTGATTAGGTGAAATCAGATTAATAATTTTACTAGGATCCTGTATGCGCGTTTCCGAGATGCAGCATACATCGATTGAGCGAGATTCTAAAGTCCTAGCTGATGATGCCTGTTGCCATATTTGACACAATGTCCGTACATTATATGCTCCAACATGTAGTCTAAAACGGGGTTTAAGGAGACCAGGAACGACGTTTCGCGAACTCGCATCGTCTGCATTAGCTGTGCACTGTGATAAATGAATGTGAGAAGAGTTAGTCATGGAGATTAGAGAGGTATTAGGGGGTGCAGGAAGGATTTGATTTCGACCAATTTGGTCTCGTGTGCTGTTACGGGTATGAGGGCGGTTGTCACTTTCCGGCTGCCCACACCGTGGAAGGTTGTTTCTTGAGGAACCTGAAAAGGAAAATAGATTAGTGTTGGTCTTAGAGACCTGGGTGCGTGACCGCAGAGCCCAAGGGACAACTGCTTGAGGCCGGTCACGCACGGCCTTTATATGAAGGGTTTTTTTAAGTATTAGCCCCGCTCTTGAAGGCCCTTAGTGGGCACCCTTACGCAAGGAGACGGAACTCCGTGAGGCAAGGTGAGGTGTGACATTATTAGGGTCGACCTTTTCTAACCCTTCCTTCGTTGCGAGAAGACAGCATCGCTGCAGATGCTGGTTGTCTGAGGGAAACACCTTACTGCTGCCACACCCCTCTGCAGTCAGCAGTACGACTTCGCCCCCAGACCTTCAGTAGCTGCTTTTAGTTTCATCGTTCTCCAATCGACCAGCCTGACATGTTAGGACCTGCAGGAACATATATTGCAGCCAGTATAGCTCGGTTGGGTCATCGCGATAGGCAAGCCCGACCACCACGTCAAGGTAGCAGCTATGGTCGGGTCAGAAAATAATAATTTGAGAGAAGACAAAGAATGGATGCAAACATGACGGAGTGCTGATATACGTTAACAGTATCGAACATATATGCCCACACAACAATAGTAAGCAGTGACCATGGCGCAGTCATGTTTAACATGGTTACAAACAAAATACTTTAGAAGGACGAGAATGCTACCTACCTATGCTGCACCGGGGAAACTACACGACCACAAGGGATCATCTTCTACTCTTCACAGCCTTGAGAGTAATGGGGACTAACAGTAACTAATAACTGGAGAGTAGTTATGGGCGTCATTGTAAATGTCACTTCACAAAACGTACCTCAGGCAAATTACATACCTAGAAAGGGAACATCCCCATTAAAGAGAGGCATAGAATACTTGCCGCAAGCGAAAAGGAGAGCTTGACACAAGTGGAAAGTCTATCTGAGAGATTTTGATTGTGGTTCCTACCTGATATTCAGTAACAGGTATAGTGCCAAAGTTCGGAGTGATAGATTTTTAGATCAAGCTCTGGCAGCTGAAATACAAGTAAACCCTAAATATATCTACAGAGTTATGGCCAAAAGGAAACCAACGAATCTCAGGGATTAACATACTGAACGTCCCGTTGTATTGAGAATCAATGTTCTAGTAAATGTTGATGCATAAACATGTTTCGCAATAAATGAGACCAATTATTTCGGAACTAAAACCGCCATTACATATCCTTTCGAGTGGATCTACTACCCACTACTACTGCTTTCATTTTTAATCTTTTAAATTTAACAAAAATCAGTAACTTAATATGCTGGTTAATCAATTGCATTGTTTTATTTAGTCGAAATAAAATGTTTTCGTCAACTTCCAAAACATGTAAAACGGTTCTGAATGTTAACCTCAAAATCATCTACGCGTATTTCTTAGTTATCGGAATAGGAATACAGATTGCATATTGATTGTAGTAGTGCACTATATATGGGATATAAAATTGTGAAGCAATAACGAGTTTTAACTATTGTATTGAATAATTTCGCCTCACATCATTACCAAGCGACTTGAATAGTATTCGTGACTCTATAACTTATTCATTTGTGCTGTTGGTGAATAGTATGCAAGTGAGGTGCATCTATAAACCTTTTAACATGATCTTCGAACAGCCCGTATACTGCTCCTATTTTCTAATCCAGGAATGAAGCTTCATTTCACTATTTGGCAATGTGGTCTCAACGACTGTTAAAATGCTATTTTTATGGTAAACCATCATTATTCCCTACTGATACTTAACACTTCGGCTTTTGTGATCTCTTCCTCTCTATATATTATTTGGGTAACATTTTCCAGTCTCCATTCATACCGCTTTCGATCTTCGTTGTTTTGTAGCATATCGTATTTAGTTTCTAAACACAGATTTTGAAATATATCAAAACCTGATGATTATTCCCTCACTTCTAAAGGCTGCCCACAAGCGTTACTGGACTACCACGCCAACTTAGGAGAAGAATTTCCCTATTGTTATGCGACATTGCTAGCGTTATTTTCAAATGAATATATCCCTGACATTTAAATTCAAATGAGTTCAATTATATTTATGCATAACTGCTGGAAATATTTCGCTTGGGTAGATGCGGTTGGTGGTGTTGAGCTGCTGAAGCTAGTTGGCCTAATTTTTGAGCTTTTATTGTCATTTTGGACATTTCCGGTGTCCACCCCAAGTCCACACGTTTTACACTAGTGTATTGCGATGACTTTGTTTGTGACTGGTTGTTTGTTAATTTTTGTTACAATAATTAACCGAATAAACTGCACCGGCTGCATATTACTTTTGATAAAGTGGGCGCTCCCCTCGCTTATTATTATTAACGACTCGGCAGGACAGACTATCGTTGGAGTCAATGCATATGAAAATCTGTGAACACGTATTCAATTGAAGAAGTGTCTAAAATTACATATCGGGAGCACCCTAAGATTGTCTGAGGATTTTCAGAAACATGGCTTTGATCAACTATTGTCGACTAATACGTCAACGACGTATTAGTCAACGTATTAGCCATGGTATGGCAACATGAACTGATGTACTTACGTACGAAGTTCTACGTTGCATCTGACTGACTGAATACATCAACGAAGATTCAATCTATGAACTAATATCGAAGTGATTAACCAATTACGATAGTCAACATAAATGTAGTGATAAATAAAAACAACATATCCTATGAAAACTGCCAATTACAAGCAAAATCATCGGAATGAACAGATATAAGACTTGTGGGATGACTAAAAAACTCAGAATGGCAATGAAAGCTCAGCAATTAGGCGAACTAGTTTTGAGAATATATGCAAATACACAGTAGAGCAGCAGTTTGATTCATCCTGATTGATTGGTAGCAATTTAATAATTGTGTTCTGGAGTTAATTAAGTACTATTTCGCCTTTTCGTTTTCCAATGTAAATTCTTTTTTATTCAACCCTATATTTGTTCAATGTTTGGTGATTTGTGTTCTTTCCTCTATTGTAAAGATGTTCCCAATGCAAAGTAATCCGGATCGTAACTGGGCTCTAATATTTTTGAAAACACAGTTACCCAAATACATTAGCTCTGAAAATGAAGATTTAACCGAGACCTCTCATACGAATGAATCTGACTTGAAATTTAAAAAAGCGTGGTTCAGTGCGTCGAATAGAGTTCATGTTTTTAATCCTAAATTGGTCTCTGCTCTTAGAGATCTTAAGCTTGGTGAACGTTTACTAGTCAGTGGATTTCTTTCTTATTATCAGTCATCGAAACTTGATGGAAAGATTAGCAGACAGTGCTGTGTCACTGCTCAGCGCATCGCTCACATGGGTTGGTCTAATGATTATCAGTCAGATAAGAATCTAGAAATGACTGAAATTTAAATTTATGGAGACGATTTATCACTTCAAGTTTCAGAACATGTATATCTTAATCTTTCAAATTCTGTCATCATATGCCTCCAGTGAGTCTTTATGTATTATTTGATAGTCTTGTATTCACCTTTTACATTCATCATATCCACGCATTCACTCATAACTGTCTGAATAAAAGTTCTCTTGACACATGCAAACCTTCATAAATGACATTAATGTTGATTACATTTTTGACTATTTTACTCAAACATTAAGCAATAATTAACCAATCTTTCGAACAGTTACGTAGCCCATCAAATTGCATTTGACTCATCAGAGTTTACAAATCATAATGTCCTATTTAGAAACAAGTATTATTAGTATCTAGATAATGAATATGTATTCTAATGTTGACTTGGGTTTATGAATTAGGTATTGTACCGTCAGTCTTTCACAATCAGTCTATGATCAGGCATAAACCTCCATCGGGTCATTATACCACACCAGCACAGCAACAATAAGCTAACGTGATTAGCACCAAAGAAGTTCGAATTACTATGGTATCAGTGACCATGAAAATGGTTAGGCAGAGAATGTCAGATTCGAAACATGAATAGATTAAGTTGTGAACTCAGAATCCAGGAGGAGATTAAGGATACATAGATTCGAACCAATGGAACTGATGTGGAGCTATGTAATCTAAAGTCTCCAACAAATCGGCCATGAATATCATTAAAATCCCTAACATCTCAGGCCACTAGTCAATACACTTATGAGCTGATGCTACATCGTGGTTTACTTCCTTGTAGTTTTATAACCCACCATCTCAGCCGGCATTGTTTCAAAGTTGGCAGCTGTTCGATATCTGTAACAGGTTCCAGCAAGCTCTTAAAAATCAAAAGAGGTTTGTGAATTTGTCGTGAAGTTTCGTCAGACACCATCTTAATACAACCAAATGGTCATTTCTCTCAATTACTTTATATGTGATGTGTAACCATTTACAAAGTATAGACCCATGTACTCAGCTTTGAGTCAGTTGTTTTGTGAATTGATGGTACTACAAGGGGGTACAGATCGAAATGGAAAGGATGTGGCAAGTAACTGGGTTCTTTGTTTGAAAGCTGAGTATCTTAACCACCAAACCACTGTTCAACATTTTACTTCAGCAAATCAAAGTGAGCATTGACATAGACCTATCCCGTAACAAAAGCTAACACTGATGTGGAGAGAAACCTACCTCAGTAATTATATTGCCTTCGTTTAGTGTTTACAAAACCGCATCTCGTAAAGATACTGAGTTGATAATCATTGTTTTATTGAACCCTTTTGTAGTATGCTGTAAAAACAAGTATGAATAAAGTAGTACTCAACTAATATATCATTCTGTGTGATATCTATATTTAAAATCAGTTACAATATCAGAAGTGATTCAATTTAGTTAACAAAAGCCATGTTTTTGACATTTCATCTCACTGAAGTAGAAAAAAGATGGTTGGTAAGATTTTCAATGAAATGAATCTATTCACTGTTCATAAAGTGATATTCTATCCTTAATCGACTGTTCATTATTCAAGTGACATCTAATCTATACCTATTTCGTTCTACATCTTGCACATGAATTTTTTTATTGCAATAAACAACAAATGAAATTTTCTGGTCACAGTTTTCCTACCTAGTTCTTTTGCTACATTGCGAGGTTTCTAACCACATGCACAACTCTCCCTTTATTCAAGCTTGAGACTGACAGTACCCACTGAAGAGTTGCGGGCGAAGATGATAAACGACAAGGCCGGTTTAATAGTGGCGTCATATTTTTTGTGTGTCACTTAGTTGGAAAAAAAGTGTTTCCTGAAAAATCGCAGTAATAATTAGACTGTCACAACTGGCTGTATTATCAATGATCCTTACATTTCAACTGAAATGCTGAGTATTTGAAATTCGTTTTATGCCAGTTTTACAAAATGCTGTTTTGAAATCGAAACCAAACCACAGGTTTGCTACCGGTTTACCGTAAAATGTAATAAACTACAGAACCCACTGTAAAGTTGTTCCAAGCTTGTAGGACAAACATAAAATGCTTGTGAGTTTCCTACGTATTTCAAAATGACGATGTTATTAAATAACTGCAATCCAGTGCTTCTAACTATATCGTATATGAAATAATATCAGTTTTCGGTAGGGAGATTTTCAGTGGATTCCAATTTGCTCCGTTGTAGGTTTATAATTCACCATATGACTAAACCCATACTTATGTATTGAAAAAGTATTTGTTTTCGATTAATTTGTGGCCAAGGAAAATTTATTCCACAAAATGACTCAAAATAAGGCTATACAATCTGTGGTTGTTTCGGTAAGATAATTGATTGAATCTAAATATCTGCAAAGGAAATTTTAAAGTCCTGACGATTACTCTAAAACGCTTTACCAAAGTTTAGCTAAAGACAATTAAATAGTGTGGCTTATCGATCATTACTAGCGTTATATTTGTTGAATTGAAAGTCAACGAAATTTCAGAAGTTTGTTACGATATAACTTGTCTTCCTGGCTAGATATTAAGTTACTAAGACGGTGTAGTTATTGAAATGTTTGGCCTTAAAACCAATAAGCTCCATATTCAAACCCTATTGAACTTTCTTTAGTTTTGGCGACAAGGATTAAACCTGTACTTATTGAGTTACATTAGTGAATTTGTTAGGGTGCTTATTTAGGTTCAAAGCACACAACTATGTGCTACAATTTCTGTGCAATATATGATGCTAGAACTGCAAACCTATTTTAGTCAGAAAATAAAAATAATGGCTTTATTCAGTATTATATGTTGATTACTATACGGAATTCTCAGCACAAAAAATTTCTATAAGTTTTTACATAACCAAGTCAGTCAGAATTTGGTACGTACATACGTCAGTTCAAGTTGCCATATCACATTAGCTAACAAATGTGCTAAATCAGTGTACATGCAACGAGATCATCTGCGTGCCTAGCAAGTGCTTTTTGTAGACGGCAGATCACGTAGAAAAAAAATGAGAGGAAAGAACATCTCGCGGCACTTCTTGACCTAGTAAAGACCTTGGTTACCTTCAAGCACAGTAGCCAGTTGGTTGTACACCTATCATTGCTAACACTGGCAAGCTTGTTTAAAAGGTGTGACCTTTGTATACGTACGTTCAAAGGCAGAAGCCTAGTCTGGAAGTACGCATCGAACACATTTCTAAGCTAGGCACAATATTTTGATGCAGGACAACAGTAAAATGAGTTACTTCCTTTACATTTGTAAGCAAACTGATGCAGGTCAGTATTCTCTTTCAATGTAGGTTGAAGAAGCGAAAGTTTGTCCATTGTTATAAGAAAAGGTGGGATGATTTCTATCGATCTACGTTTTAAATTATTACCAGATAATTTCTCTGGGATTGTCTGTACCATGCTCCACATTTTCGATATTAAATCTGTTGAGGATTCATAAAAGATTTTCCTAAATGTCTGACATGTCAGAACACTTGAAAAGATTTCAGACATTGGGGGGCGAGCCAAGTGACTGGAGACATTTTCGGACATCGGTCACAGTGAAAACTGGAACATAACTCTTTTAAACTTAGGGATGTAGACCTCTTAGATTCCGAACTTCAACCGAGTTTCCCTCTCCATACATCCTTTATTTGTTCGTAGTCGGTTAAACCGTACAAAAATAGTTTCGGCACGACGACAAACAGCAAAGCAGAATTCAAGGCAACATTGACGGTGCTCTCCAAAAGGTCATTTGTAAATAAATGCTAGTTTGTCGTACGAAAGATATTTTTATTCGGCGAAATCCTTGTATCGAACCTTCTTTGTTTGGTGTAAGTGTACCCTTCCAAAGTTTGTCATATATTTTGCGTAGAACACGAGGGATAGAAATTAAGTAATGGAGTACGTTTCAGAGTTACATAGGTCATTCATGAAAGCTAGGTCTAAATGCGCATCCGAACGAGTGGAAAAACCAAGCATATTATCGCGACCTAGTTGTAAATTCTACAGTCACACTAAATATATCACCATATATGATTAAGAGAATCATCGAATGCAGCAACAAAAAATTCGGTGAATTCACTGGTTGAAACAGATGAGGCAGTCTGGAACTACGTAAATGTTGGTTACATAGACATGATTGTTTTGGACGGTATCTTAGGTCGTTTGGGAACAAAAAACATGCAAAATTATATGTACCCTGATAAAATTAAAACCATGTAGTGATGCTTAATAATAGCCATGTAAATCATTTAGCCGGGATTCTTGAGTAGTGATTACACCACGAATGCGATATACATTTACACTCAGTAGAAATTAAGGGCAAACTCTTGATAAGTAGTTAGAGCTTTGCAGTTCATCCTTTTCAATACTTACTGCTAGGCACCGCAATTTATCGGACTTCACTTCTTTGTACCTTGTGAGGCAATAGGTTGAACAATGATCTAATAATAAGTAGTCATCCGTTTTAGCATTTCTTGAGTTCTAGTTACATAATTTTCCAATCCATTAAATTGAAATAATTCCGACCTATACAGTAAGTTATTTTAGAAACAAAGATAAATTCTAATACAGTCACTTATGGCATGCATATTCATTGTTGTTCGTCTGACAGAAGTCTGTTGATCATCTTAATGCAGAGTTCAAACCGAAGTAGTACTTATCAGATTTTATTTATATTAGCTATTTATTCATATAAACGAATTCAAAACTATTGTCAAATATTCCGACCGGAGCTGCTACCTTGACGTGGTGGTCGGGCTTGCCTATCGCGATGACCCAACCGAGCTATACTGGCTGCAATATATGTTCCTGCAGGTCCTAACATGCAAGGCTGGTCGATTGGAGAACGATGAGACTAAAAGCAGCTACTGAAGGTCTGGGGGCGAAGTCGTACTGCTGACTGCAGAGGGGTGTGACGGCAGTAAGGTGTTTCCCTCAGACAACCAGCATCTGCAGCGATGCTGCCTTCTCGCAACGAAGGAAGGGTTAGAAAAGGTCGACCCTAATAATGTCACACCTCACCT